CGTGGAATTGGCGTTTTTCCTTTCCATTCTGCGGAGGTACTCCATCATGTCGGCGAGTTCCACTTTTTCGCCCCTCATTTCCCTGTCCGGGGCCCAGCCAATTACTGATTGCCTTCCTCCGGGGGATAGCCCCGCTATAAACCAAGTATAGAGGAGCTCTGCATCCACCATAGGACTTCGGTTCGCCAAGGCCTGGTATTTCTCAATGCAGCGCTCTATTGACAGTTTTCCCTGTTTAAGCTTTCTCAGTTCCTCCACACCCTGCTCCCCTGCGGACCTCGGAATAAACCTGTAACGCAGCGCTTCCCGGAAGGCCTGGATGGACCTGATGTGCTCCGGGAACGTGGAGCCGTTGCTTAAGTGTAGTCACCACCAGCGTGCGTCCCCTTCTAACAAGGAAGAGACCAGGACTAGTTGGAATTCTTCTGGGGCATTTGAAGGCGGAGATATAGGTCTAGGGAATTGAAGAACTCCTCTACAGCCTCTGCACCCCGCGGCCCATCCTATNAAGGCGGAGATATAGGTCTAGGGAATTGAAGAACTCCTCTACAGCCTCTGCACCCCGCGGCCCATCCTATTTCGTTGGACGGCACAACCGGAGGCATTCCTCTTGAATCGTTTCTGGAGGGAATGCATTTTCTCCGGGATTGGATGCCGAAATGGAGCTGGGTTCCGCTTGCTGGGGTTCCAGACCGTGCGTCGACCCCACCTCTGCGAGTGGCTCATAGCCAACCTCCATTTTGCCGAAGAGAACACTGAAATTGGGAGAGGTTTCGTCTATAAAGGAAATGGGTTTTTATTTCGATATAAATAAACGGAGAAAATAAATTTGATATATTTTTGCGATCGTTTGTTTTTCAGCTATTCTTGATGTCACCCGTGTGGGGATCGGGCCCGGGCTCGCACCTTGCCCCGATGAACCATGCGGTGGTACTAAGTCTAACGCTTGTTCTCTGGCCTTTATCCTACCAGAGGCGAGCCGCAATGTAGGCAAAGACTTAAAGCAAGAGTTTCCCAAAAACAGCTGACCTCCTTCCCCGGTCCCTAGGCATCCTGGGCATTGAGCTCAGGGCCTGGGTGTTGGGGGGAGGAGTCAGCCAGAAATGGGGTTGCAGCGCACGCCGCTACGGCTGGTAGTTCAAGCCAGCCCCACGCGTGCACGTAAGGAAGCTTCAGCGAAGCTTCCTTTGCTGCATGCTTTACCTATGACAGTACTTCTAGAATGTTTGCAAGCGTTTACACGCAGCGTACCAAAACCAGGTGAAAGCTTCTGCGCTAACTCATGCTACAAATGGGGTTGCAACGCACATTGCTGCGGTTGGTAGCATAAACCAGCCCCACGGATGCACGCAAGGAAGCTTCACCTAAGCTTCCTTTGCTGCATGCTTTACCTATGACCGTACTTGTAGAACGTTTGCAAGCGTTTACCCTCAACGTGCCAAAACCAAATGAAAGCTTCTGCGCAAACTCTTGCCACGACAGGAGCCATCACTTGGCCTTGGTAGGTTACGTGTAAGCAAATACAAACGTCCTATAGGTGTATTCAGAGGTGAATCATGCACTAAAGAAGGCATCAA